AATTTACTATAATAGTTATTAGAAACAATGATTTACATACAAAAGTTTTACAAAGTTACAAGCAATATAAAGTCTTCTTTCTAGTCTAGAACTTTTTCGATATCTTATCGAGGGTTCAGGATGAGCGAGTTAATTACGAGTTGACATAGGTACAATTCGCTTAACGGGTAGCTAGCTAGCTTTGTTCTTCGTTAGTCACCAGCCACACACGCCGAGTTTTCCACGATGAAGTTATATAATGATTTCGTGAAAGTACTAATAATCAATGAGATTCCACTGAAGGTAAATTATTTCTAATGTTAGAACTTTGTAAATGCTCCTGGTCAAATATCCGATTAATAAGCGTTATAATAATTACCGTTATAGCTTCCGAAGTTTATAGCACACGGACTATAGCAAACTAATAATAGATGTTCTTTTGGCGCGTCGCGTTGGTTATATTTATAGGCGTGTGGAGAGTTTCTAGAAAATTAAGATTACGTAATAATACAAAGTTACATTAAGCGTTTACGTACATACATATATTGTTGATTCTAACGCCCGAGAATTTTCTACAACATTAACGAATAGGCGGGAGTTTCGCAATACATATTTAACTGCATAAGTTATTTACACTTGTAAATATAAATCGATATTAAAATAAATATATAATAATAAATCCGTCACACAATAAATAAATCATCTTTGAACTACAGCTTAGTTCATTAAAAATTGTTGATATAACTTATGTAGTAGCCTTTTTATTTTACTTTATCATTTTGTTATTACCGATATTAATGTTATCAGTATGATTTGTTCCATCCAAACAGCATCTTATTATCTAACTCTTTGATTATCAATTTGCTAATTTGATATTAGTTTTATATTATTATATGCTTAAAGTTAAAACACCAAAACTGACGAAGTATAAAAGCGTAATGTGACGTGACAGAAATTAACATCTAACGTTAGGCAAACAGCAATAAGCCTAACACTTTCCAAATGACAAATTACCATTACAAGTATTAGTTCTAAATAACAGAAAACTAACATACGCTCCAGTCCAAGTTAGACCTAAATTTAAGCCTCGCGTAACATTTTGTTTGCTGGTGGCTGCTGCAAATCTATGTTTTCAAAAATACTGTATTAATTTCAGAATTGTAACACTTAACTTTTATTATTATTAATATTATATTCAGTTAAAATGCTACTGCATCCGTACGTGTATTATTAAAAGTTTTTTGATACAGCATTTTTCCCCCAGCAAACTCAATGGATTTTCGAATTAATACTAACAGTGATAACTTTTATAAGATATTTGAAGAATAATAAGAATTTTTATAAAGCTTTTTAAGTTTGATTTGGGCCTAAACATTATGACCGAATTGCTTAATAATAATAATTTAATTGTTCTTTCGTCAAGCAAATGTTACATTAACTCTTTTAGCAAAATATTGTCCCATGAACATATTTATTAAAATGGGAAAGACTAACTGAAAAACAACTTACGTTTCAAACTTGATCGTATTACGATAGCCAAAAAGCCTAATTTTAAAGATCGTAGCGGAGTTAGACTGAAACCTGAAGGGGGCTTGTGGTCCAAAACTGTAAGCATATTAGACATATGACCTACCCATGTTTTAGGTGTGTAATAATAAAGTTTGTACTTTTAATCTAACACTTTTTCATCTCTTTATTCATGAGTGGCTCATTATTAAACAGTACCCAAAAAGATTAATCAGATCCCTTTTCAAGAATTTCTAGATCATTAAAAATAACTATTTTCAGTTTATTTTCATTCAACATTAATATAATTACGCATATTTATATTTTATATTTCAACTTATGTTATAGACAGCGCAATTATTTCACCTTATACAGAACAAATGATCTTTTTCATTATTATTTACCTTCAGTTTCAGAATACATAAACATACAAATAGAGTTCTGTTCTCCTGAGTAAGCAAGAGTGCGTTAAATTGCAAAATAACATTTAAAGCTAGATTTTGTTGATTAAACTGGGCCATAACAATAGGTGATTTGGAATATGAGAGGATAATGCTACAACAGAAACTGGAGTCACTTTTTAATTTTTACTTAATAGATTACCTTCACACCGTATGTTGTTGCAAGCACATTGCTCGAGAACTTTATTCTCTTTTTTTGTTATTGTTGATGAAATCAATCTCTCATTTCCTTAATATTTTCTTAGGAGGTACATTGGTAATATTTCTCAGGATGTTCAATAACAAATTTCTCTCTTTTCACTTGATTCAATAGGTAACTGCTGGTAGCACATTAATGACATAACAATATTGTTATATACAATATTTTAATGTTGTAATATTTTTTATGGCCTGGTGGTTAGGGCGCTCGATTCCCAATTTGCGGGTCATGGATTAGAGTGTTTACTTTGAGTTGTTAAAAAAAGTGCCTTATGAATAATCACTAGGTGGATTAACCATTTTAGTTCAGCTAATAGAGCTAGCTGTCACTACCTTCGCTAGCCGTATCAAATTTTGAACTGATAGATTAAAGAGTAGGCATACGGTCAACAGCACTCTTGGGCTGTTCTTGTGTGCTTAATACTGGTTTCTGACCGTCACCCTTATAAAGTATCCACAGCTCCAAATTGCGAAACGCGATTTTTCTTCCTCTTTTTATTCTCCTTTCTTCATCGCCTTCTTCTCTTTGACACACAAGCGAAAACGTTTTTAACTTTTTGCATGAATTGGTAATTGATTTTAATTTTTGTTTATGATGATATGTATTGTATTCTGTTATACCTTTATAACTAAAATTAAAGTAGTTTCTTTCATTTTTATAATTTAGACTGCCTGTGATTTATTTAAAACGAAATTGTTGCTTACTTCGATATTTTTGTAAATATTAATAAGATCCCTTATGGGAATTGTATATCCCCATAACGCCCTCAGTAGGAGTTGACATGCATTAGCCACGTCAGTCTTGTGAAGAATACCCTGACTCGTTGTAGGAGAGATTTTAATTATTCTGTCATAATGAATGTTTTTCGTCTTACAGGAGACATATCTCATCTTTTGGCTATTATAATATTGTTGGTGAAAATATGGAAAACAAGGTCTTGTGCAGGTATGAAGAAAACAAGTAACTGTTATAACACACTAAGTAGTCCTAACGACCTAAGTCGGTATCTGTGGGGTTTTAGTTAAGCCTAATCGCCGGTTATCGAACTTGAGACGGAGAAATCTAATAAATAGTAATATATGTTTTTGTGTAGTTCGATGCATAGGTTGAGTCTGTTGGCACACTGATGTGGAAAGGTCAGGACAACAAAGTACATGTGGGTCCTAACCACTAAATAACACTTTAAAAATAAAACGCTCAAAGTCAAAGCCAGCTCTTATCGTCCAAATATTTATCAAGTCTTCCAATTCCATTTAACTATTTTGAATTAATTGTATCCACTACATGTGAAGGCAACCCATTCCATAGATCAACCATCCTATTACTCTTAGTGTTAGAAAAATAAAACTTTCTTGGCTGAAGATGACTCCTATCCTGCTAAAAATTATATTTGTATATCTAGTCCTACCATTCTCACCATTAAGTACGAAAAAGGATAATGCATTAGCACTAGCAATTCACTTAAGGCTTAACAGTCGTAAACACCTTAATCAAATCATCTCTCACTTCTTTTTCAAGAGAAAATTTTAGAGATCTTAACCTGTTATTGTATGACAACCTTTCCATCTCAGGTATCAGCCTTGTAGTAGTACTGGTAGCCATTCCCAAAATACTTTCCAAGAATTCAATGCCCTTCCTATGGTAAGGATCCCAAGCCTGAACATGGTACTCCAAATGTGGCCTTGGATAGTGAAGCAGCAGTTTCCTCCTCACAGCCAGCAAAACCCATTGTACATCACAATGTGCAAAACCCAAAGTGGTGCCAAAGAGCAGAATATATTGCAATTAGTAAATGAGGGCATTGTAATAAGGGATGAAGATTGTAATTATCTGAATTCTCATTATTTATTTCAAATATAACTGCAGTTGAATGAATATTGTTACAATTATATCTGTCATCTTTAGCTTAAAAGTTAAATACAAGATGAGTTAACAATGCACTGAACTGAATAAATGTTCATTCTTGCTGTAGAGAAATGATGGTTATGTCTGTGAATGTGCTACATGAGAATGAGTGTGTTAATCAGACTGTAATTTGTCTTTAAACTTGTTATTCCAAAATGTTAGATGGCATTGTTGGTGAGATAGTCTAAATATTATATTTTACACAATTTTTTGAAAATAATTAATCTTATTGTCAGTAAACAAATTTTGTGCTAAAGAGATTTATTTTCTAAATTATATTTTCACCACATTTATTGTATTTCTTTTAACTTCAAATATTCCTCGTATTTGTTTAACATTTATCTGTTCAACAGAATTTAGCTTTATGAATTTCATGGAATATACAGTAATCTTATTTTTTAAGGTTGTATTTTATACTTATCAGTAGTCTGTTACAATTAGAGTGAAGTGAGTTCCAACTTTTATTTCAAAAATGAATGTAAATCATTTATTCTTTTTTTTAACTTTTGTGTTTGGTAACTGTTTACAGATATACATGGTCAGGTTTTGGGATGAACATTTTGAGTTGGATATTTGTATAAGTTTACTTTTCACTTAATGTTGAATGAAATGCCCCTTACTGATATGTGAAAATGTAAAAACAAGTTACTGGCTGGGATAAACTTATCAAGTAAGCAGGTTTCTCTAAAAGTACAAATATTTGTTGTATTATAATTCTCCATAAATATTGATGATATATAAAAATTGCATGTACAAAGTTTCATTGAAATCTCTAAGTTGAATATTAACAAGTGTGTTGTCAGTTGTTGCAAAAATTGCACTCTTTATAGGAGTAATAATGTAATGGTGATCTATAAGGTTTGGAAGCTTACAAGCAAATCTCTTACCTTGACATATATATTTAATAAAGCATGTTGCAAGAGTTATCACCAATGTAATAGTTGACGATCATGTAGTAAGTCTAATAGTTTTGCCCATGCTTTTAGAAGCACTTTTGGGGAAGATCTGTTTGTAAACCATAGTCAAGTTTATACCATATTAAACAAACACTGCATTATAGCAGCATTTAGGATATTACAATTATCCATGTGGATATCTTTGTAATTCCTTATCATTATTGTTATTTTCAAGCCATAAATAAAGAGTGCACTTTCACACACTTTTATTGCTTAAAATAGTTTCCCAGAGAATTAGTTCCAAGCCATATAAGTATGTGAATGTGAAGTTACAGTTACGAATATATAAACTCCCATAAACAAAATACACAATTATTGTACAACAAATGAAAAATGTCTATAGCACTATTACATGCCAAGTTTGCACAGTTTATTTCAAGGGAAACTTACTCCCATTAGTTTTAATTTGCCTTTAAAAAAATCAAGATGATCACTAAACCTTTCCTCCACCATTTGGTAATGACCAGCAAGCAAATGTTAAAACCAAAAACAGGGTGTCTGTTCAAAGTGGCTGAACCAATAAGGATCCGTAGTACATCAAATGATAGCTCTCTTCATGCTCTACTTTGATCTGGATGGTTTCATTGGATCCAAAAGCATTTTCTATTTGAAATCACACAAACAAAGCTTTAAAAAACATTTAGAATTTTTTTATCCCTTGAATTTGTAGAAACAAAGCCATACAATAAACTTTCTGATGAGTTTTACATAATGCATAAACTGTTATATAAATATATATGTCTGCCTAAATCGAACTGACAGCATATCAAAAAATGATGAATGGGGATAGTAAACAAGACTGTATGTTGGCTTGGCAACAACTTGTTTTACGACATTACATCGGGCATAAACAGACAATATGTTGGACTGGCAACAGTGCTATACATCATATCATTGGGTGTGGCTAGAACAAAAGAATGTGTGCTACAATAGTACAGTGAAATGATATGAACAATGGCAGTCTCATTTGTATATTAAATAAAAGTGTGATTTATATATAAAAGGTCAATTATTAGTAATAACAATCAAATGCTACAACTCTAACTTGGAGGTGTGATACAATCAAAACCTGTATTAAATTGAAATGAACTAGCTCACAAAACTTAATACAGGCTATTACCTTGATGTATTCTATGCATATTCATGAATAATTATGCAAACAATTATAGTGGTGGAGGAACAACACTGTCTTAAATATTTTTCCACATTTGCTTTAAGAATTAATATAATTATCATCAAAATAATGTTAATACATGATGAATGTATTATAAGTAATGAAAAACAGACACAATGAGATAAACACTAATTGTATTGAAGATTTAGTAAGATTAATAAAAGATATCGAATTGCTAAGATAAATAGTGGAAGATGTGCCATCTCAATTTTATAATAAAAACTATGACAGAGGGAATTCCTTGTATTACTTTAATAGATAACTTGTTCAATGTTGTAACCATGTTAATGAACATAGTTGAAGGTTTGATTAATGAACATATATATCCAAAACAAAGAGCTTAATAGTTATGATTGTGGATTATTTCAAGATAACTTTGGGAATTTTGATGTAGAGGAAGTAATCAATAACTTGTACAGTACACCACCGATTTTCCAACAACTGATAGTCCGGCACCTCCTTTAATCTGAACAAAATTACAAGAGTACACTTGAAATTCCTGTGACCGCCAGACTACTTCACTGGGTGGCCACATATGGCATTATGTGTGGTGCGCGCTCTTTTGGGACGGGCTACTTACATTTTAAGTACGTACGTCACTCTTGTGAACATTTTCTTATAAATATTAAACTAATGGATCAAATTGCTTGAATTTTTTCATGAATGTTGCCAAGAATATGTAGTATAACAAGATACAAATATTTAGTTTCTATTTTTTCTACAATTTTTTACAACACAGAATGTTGATAATAGTGTATGAAAATTCAAAATATAACGTACTTAAAGATAACAATAATAATAACAGTAAAATTCTAAAATTTGCCACTTTAGAAGTGGTACTACTGTAACATTCTTTGTAAGTACAGTACTTAAAAAAACTTTTTTAATTTATACTGTAATAATAAACCTGTATCATTTATACCTGTACTAATGTATTTCATTAATCATTTAATTCATAATTAATTTATTTAAGTTTCTAGCAATCCATGGTGCTTTAGAGACACAGGAGGGGTATAATTTGTGGGCCAGAGGTGTATTGTTGAATTATTATTATGTGACCTCTGTTAGTCTGGCAAAACAGATAATCTGGTAAGGCTCTGGAACTAAGGATGCCAGAAAATCGATGGTGTACCTGTAATACAAATTATTTTGCATTTATATTACAACTGTCTCTGAGTTCTATATTTCACACACAAATTCCTCAAGTTGGTGAATTGTTTATTTAACTCACAACTGCATAACCTGTATTTAAAATAAAATTATTTGTAAGTTATGTGAAGTTGAACCCAAAGACTACGCCTGCTGGCCACTTGTTATATTGCCAGTGGATGATGGCTTGATGTGCCGTAGAGATTGATTAACAAATTTCACCAGACAATGTCATGTTAGAAATAACATAATAAGTTAGATTCATAATCATATGTTACCTGACATATTTGTAGGATTTTCATACTAGTACTTTCTATGTAACGTTAATACCTTTGCTCATAATGTTTATTAATATCATAGTACATTCACTCTTATTATTACTAATTTCAATCATAATTCATTGAAAAATGTTTACTTCCTTTTGTATTGTTTTGAATTTTGATTATATATTTGGGAAACTAATATCTAGAACTTTGTTGTTTATCAATTATATCAAGAAATGTCAAAAGGGGGAGTTTCCTACTGGTACATATCTGTCAATCACAGTATTTCAAGTTTAAAACCAACATGAATACAACATCTCTCCTTTACTTTCATAGGTACGAGGTAAGCTGATACTTCATTTTTAACATTTGTTTGTTGACAATATTCACTTCATTTATCCATATAATATGAATCCATGTATATGAGTTTCAAATTGATGGATTTTATTGAAATTACATTTTATCTTGCTTTGACATGGGTTTTACACATTCTCAGGT